TCTCTCTCTCTCTCTCTCTCTCTCTCTCTCTCTCTCTCTCTCTCTCTGTGTGTGTGTGTGTGAATCACACAGTGTGATTTTCCTACAAGCACTTTGTTTTTGTCAGTAAATGTGAGTGGGCGGGGGCGAGTGAGTGTGTATGAGCGAATGTGTTTATGCAGCGTTTGTAGTTAATTAGACTGCATTTGGTTGAATTGTCAGAAAATACGACATCCGTTGTCAGCGCCGACTCCTTGTTTGTTGTTTATGTCGTCTTTTCGTTTCACAGTCGCCGCCGCCGTTCTTGCTACTGCCACACGATAAAATGTGATTTACGTAAAATAGGACAAGTCGTACGGCGCTGAAAACAAAAGCAAAGCACTCGAAAGACAATTGAAATGTTAAAAGTTTGCTGAAAAGTAGCAGAGAGAATCGACGAGAAATATGATAAAAGCGAGAGTGCGTTCGTCAAATTTCGTCTTTAATTTACGGCTTAAAGAAGTGTGCGTTTGACTTTGTGATACAAGTACGGAGAAAAAAAAGCGAAGAAGACTGCAGTTAGAGCGAGCTAAGTAAGAAAGGGAGAGACTGAGACGAGAGAGAGAGAGAGAGAAACAGAGAACAGTGCAAATGACTTGCCGCTTTATTGTTTGTCACAAAGTGCGTATCAATTCGATCTAATGTAAAACGAGTGGCAGGTGTAGCAAAAGTTCATTAATGGCATATTTCGTATCGTAGTCATTGTCCAAAGTATTTCATACGATAGACCAGCTGCAAATATTGATGCCAATGGTTATTTAAGCAATTTCATTGTTCTCTTCATACAAGTTCGATGCTATTGCTCGACAACCGAAATCATCAACATTGTTGCCATTCAAAGTGATTGCATTCTATTGCCAACAACCTAACCATTTTGCACAATTCGATCTGATGAAATGATAAAACAAATGGCGGAGAGCGAAAGAGAGCGAGTGCGAGCGAGAAAATTGTGAATTGCAAATTTATGCTTAGAAAAATGTTCAATCGTCACGTGTGTGTGTGTTGAGAATAAAGTAATGAATAAATCACCATATCACACTGCTGAGGGCACACATCTCTTATCACCTATTTCGCTCACTTACTTGCTTGTATGTCCGACACCGAAACAATATTTCCCAGTCAGTGCCTGCTATCGTTTCATTCTTATTATACAATTGTGTATCAAAAAAGCAAATCGATTCTATCGGGATATGCATCAATCGAACGAGCAAAACCGACACATACACACACATGCTCAAATACTTCTACATGGAAAAAATTACGTTAATGCAACAGATTCCGTGTATGGTTTGAAGGCTGTAATTGATTTTGCGATCAATCACCATTGAAACTTAGTTCATAGCAATCGATTATACTTTGAAGCTGATGCGCAAATAAAAGCTTCTATCAAATTCATTCATTCGATGAATCGCGGGCTGGCGTTTTGATAAAAAAAAAACAAAAATGTCTCCCTGCTCGATGCTACATTTTAACAAACAGGATCAGATAATTTCCATTGAAGCAGCCCACGGCGTTCACTGCATTTGATTCACTTCCGTTTCTGCGCTTGATTGCTCCCTGCAAAAAATGTTGTAGTTTTGATTTGTTTCGAGTTGCCAGCCATCAATTTTTTTCCCTTCTCTTAGTTTAACTTGGAGAAAAAAAACACAATACAATAACGATGTATTGGAGATTGAGATTGAATATTGAATGGAAATTGGCCAAATGGATGCATTTAAACGGAAGAAAAGCCCTTCATGGCCTTCTTCATTCACTCTTTCGGCTTCTCGCTCTTTCTCGGTCTGTGTGTTGCATCGTCACACGAGGGAAGAACGTAAACTAGTTTTCCGTTGAATAATAATGATGTGATTCGTGAAGCACGCGGTACCTTTAAATAACACGCAATGACGCACGGAACAAAATCATTATAACTGATGCAAAAAGATACAGGCATTTGTAACGTTCATTGTTGAGGTTGCCAGTCACATCAAGCCAGATACAAAACGTACGAGATCGAAATCAATCTTTTGACGGGAACGACATGTGCAGCATACAAGACATATGTGTGTGTGTCTATCTCTGTCACTCTTTGTGTGTTTGCCCTTTTTGTCATAGTGACCGCGTTCACAGAATTTCACCGGACAATCAAAGTCACTGACTATTTTGAATTTTTTTTTCGCCCCCTTCTCTTCGGCTACTGTCTCTGCCACTACTTTCTCTGTGTTACCGCACTGTTTCATTTTGAAGTTGTAACTAAACTAAAGGCCACGTATACATTCATACACCCATTTCCATCCTAATAATCGAAAACCTATTCAAATACAATCAAAAAGGAATCACATTTAGGAAACGACCCATTCAACTGGATACAATTAAAAAAAAGTTGTTTTCCAAACCGACCAAATAGTTCTCGGGTCCAAGAAATGTTTTTTTTTCTCGTGTGTGTGTGTGTCCTGTCGGCCTCTTGTTTTCGTTATACACTTTTTTTCTGTGTATAGGGTGTGTATGTGTGTGCATCGTGCCTAAACCGATTGAATTAAATGGAGAACAGGAAAAATTGAATAAACTTTTTCAATAACCTGGCGTGCGTTTAGTGGAGTCAAGCCAGTCCTTCAGTTTGATATCGTCGGTGCCAAAAGGTTCGATGTAATTTTAAAAGTCTTGTTTAGTATTTAATATATTCGTTTTTATGCGAATCGGATCTCCCGTTCGACGGCACACACACACACACAAACACCCACCAACTATGAAAACAAAACAATAGCATAACGTGCGCTTCGCACAAGCATTTCCCAAACTTATTGCACACCATCGTCACACTTTTGGGCGGTGGAAAAATAGAGAGGCAAGAAAACGAAGACAACGAAAAAAAATTAGAACGAAATATGAAGGGAACGGAATGGAAACGAGAACGAGACAGAAATGTAACATTGTCTCAACTTTACAGATTCTCTCAGCAGGCAAATAAAAAGACACAAAGAAATGAAGAATGTCGAACGAAACAACATGGAAAAAAAAAGTCAAATGAGGGTATCATTACATGCTATATTTATGTTGAGCGAATATTCTGTGTGCTCACTGTATTTCATAGAATTTTTTTTCCTCCACTTGCTATTGCTTCTTTTTTTGTGGAAGATTTTCGAGAGTGTGTTTGTGTGGCGGTGGTTGGTACACACGGCAATTGAACGGCATCTGTATTTCGTTAGATGAAATCCCTGTCGCAACAAGCTATTGAATATTTTTGTCGAACAATGAAAATAAAACCAATTTAAAAACTTTTACCTCATTAAAATTGTTGTGTGTTCGACAATCTCTAAAGTTGATCCAATTTTCTATAGTACACGTGAACCTGAATTCCATACACAACAGATATACATTCACACACATCCACCCACCCACAAAAAAAAACGAATATTTGCCCTCTTCGCTTCCCTCCATCGAAACGAATATGTATCGACAGGGAAAAATGTTTGAACGTTTACTTTTTTTCCACAACCATGCGCTTATCAATCTGTTTTCTCTGGGGGTCTATCGACAAAACGAGACTGCCAGCGAGAGAGATGCGAAAATAAAACCAGAAAACAAAAATGTGCACGGTTATGATCTGTCGAACAAATGCACGACTGTTCGATAGTCGTGTTAATTACATTTTCACCGAAAAGTCGCGAATAATAAATCTTTTTATGATTTGCCACGATTGAATGTGTCTATATGCATTGTACAAATGCTGAGAATGCATCAATGCCGTTTTCCACCACACATACACCCAAATTGGTGCATACACAAAACACTAAATCGATTTGCTTGCGGTATTTGCCGAGTCGTTTCGCGTACCGTAGTTAATTAAAACCACGTAATTGTGCCACACACACACACACACATACACACACAACGAAACAGCCTTAACAAGTATGTGGTTTTGCATGTACTTAAATCCAACCAATCATCCATCCATCCATCCATCCATCCATCCAATCCAGCCAGTCGCACCCATCCATCGAGTGTTAATTGCAGAAAGATTGAAATAAACCTATCCATCCGCCACCGCCACCACTGTCACACTTAAGAATTTTCATATATTATAAAATATCAATTTGAGGAAAAAAAGCGTATTTTTCGCGGCTTTCATATATGCCTGTATCCGTCAAAAAGGTTTTCTCTGTAGTTTTTTTCTATTTTGATAAAATAAAATTGATGAGATGATTTTCCAATTACGAGTGAACGATAGCAAGTGAACATAGTACACACATGCAGCCACTCACTCTCGCGCTGCCAGGAAGAAGAAGAATAAGAAGGGAAAAAAGTCTCATCGGGAAATGGGAAAAACGAGGAAAAAAAATTCTACCTGACACGTGGAGATAAAGGCACATAACATTGTCGATACAATGTGACACACACACACACAGTGCACGAGACGCGCGATTTACAGCCCTTTGCGACGATATTTTAGCTGCCGGTGTGATTTTTCTCTCTTTCCCTCTTTCGCCTCGACATTTTTTCCCTTCCTTCTTTCTTTCTCTTCCTCACGCTCTTCTTTTCGGATTGTGAAGCTTCTTACGATGTATGCATGTGGTGTACCCTCATTACAAAAAGCATCCTTTCTCTTGAGTCGTCGATCACCGTGTACATATGAGAGAGTGGGTTTTTGTGTGACGCTGTAATGCTGCTACCTCGACGCGAACGCTCAAGTAAAGAGCAAAAGAGAAAGAAACCGAAAAAAAGAGAGATAGAAAAAGAGAACGGGTATGCGTATGTACTGCAGCACTTCGACTATACAATATACATTTTCCGGTTTCATTCCATATCACTCCATTCATTAAAATGAATACGTACGGAGATCCACATATGCATTAAAATGAAATACAAAATGGAATAATTGAAATGATTCCAAGAGTTGTGCTAAGCGATACATAACAAGATGAAGAGAGAGAAAGAGAGGGAGAAGGAGAGAAAATAAAACTTGAATATTTTCTTTCTTCGTGTGTTTCACCCATTTTACTATGCAAGCTCTTTATTTTTATTATCATTATTATTATTATAGCGAGTGAAGCTATTGTGCACTACTTTTAATGTTGCTTTTTATTTTCTTTATTTTATTTCATTTCATTTGGTTTTTCGTTCTGCTTTTCCATCAATTTCGACATTGGCGCAGACACATACACGCGCGCGCACGCACGCATTCATTCAGGTAGCACGAGAGACAGAGTCAAATGGGAATCGTCTTTTGCTTCGTTCAACAATAAGTTTATTTTTTGAGAGTATAGAGTCGACATTCTCATTTTCTCTGTCTCTCCATGTGTATGTGTGTAGGACAAAGCTCGAACGATGGATGCAACGAGTGTAACAATTGAAAACGATTGAATGGCATCATTCAATTGCTAAATTAGATGAATTAAAATACTGAATGGCTGTATAGATGTCTGTATATTCTTTCCCCGTTGCATTCGAAATTTATATATATATTATTCGGAATGGAGTTAATGCCTCTGGTTACACACTATCAATCGATTTCGGCAACTTTATCTCAGTTTTCATTTCATTCATTTTCATCGTTGATACGGCTTGAATACACAATTCAACGATATAAGTTACTTAAGATCCGCCCGATTCTCATTCGCTCAAAAGCTCAAACGCTGTGACAATTGGTGTCAGCTAAAGAGCTCGACGGTCGGTTTGCCGTTTCCTTATTCTCTTCGTCTTCTTTTCGTCGACATTGTCGTCTTTGGTGGCAGCAGAGGCGACGATGACGACGACGACGGTGGAGGCGACGGCAGTGGCACAGCGATCCAAAAGCGAAAAGGATGCACGAACATGAGCTGAATAATGAGCTTGTCTTACACAATTGCTACACTACAGAACCTCAAAACAAATTATCGTCTATTTAGATGTTATTTCCGTGGCTGGTTCTCTCGTTTCCATTCATTTAATTTGGTGTAAACAATCTGCTTAATGTGTTTTATACATTGTTGCGAGCGTTGTGCTCCTGCTGCGATTCCTAAATAAGCGTCACTTAATTTGGAACTCGGATACAGTTCAGAATATCGAAAGGACAACAACAGCAACAGCAAAAGCAGCATCAACAAACTACGTACCACACAAATTTGTATACAGAAGAATAGGAGGACGAAAGAAAAACAAAAAACACACCAGCCAAACAAATACACTCAGACGAAAATAAATCTGAACAATTTCTTGACTTTATTCTAATTATTTTCACATCATAATTACGATTGCATTTATGAAATGGCTTTTTTTCTGCTACGGTTCGCTCTCTCTCTCTCTCTGTGTGTTTTTTTTTCTTCTGTGTACTTCACTTCTCATTTCGGCCGAGCGGACAGAGAAGATCCAGTAAGCAAATTATTGTGCACAACAAAGTTTTTGAGCCGGAAAATGTTTTAAAGGTCAAATTTGAATAATTTTCAATGGAAAGAATGAAATGAAAAGCGCCACATGCACACAAAGAACTGAATTCGGAGGGGAGAGAAACATGGCCAATTCCTAGTTTGACATATGCTTGCGCTCATCATTACGCTCCCGTGGCACAAATGGCACATTCAGCGGTGCGGTGTATGTAGTTGTTGATTTTTCGTCGTTGTTGCTTTCATCTGATCTGTTGTTCGTAGCGGGTGTTTTGTGAAACGCAAAAGCATAAAGATAAGTCATAATTGTAGGAAATCTTGTCAGGCTGAAAGGTTCATTCTCTCTCTCTCTCTCTCTCTCTCTTTCTCTGTATCTCACTTACTCATCACCAAAAACGCACCCGACACGGCTAAAAACAATCACATTGCTTGGCCTCATTTCGACGAATGCCCGACGACGAATTTAGATAAATGTCTGATGTTGTTGTTTTTTCTTTCGGTTTATCGTTGCTTTCATGTTAATGTGACACGGATAATATAAAAATGAATGAAATATCTTTTGATGTGATTATAAAATCCCTAACGAATCTTATGGCTGAGATTCTTTTTTACGCTCATTCACCATTACGTTAATATTCATTTCTGCGTTTTTCAATTTCTGTGGCATTTGTTCACTTCATGCTTTTTGTTCGCTATGTTTTATTTTTCGAGTATCCTATCGTCGCTAATGTCGTCGACCAGGGCGAGTAGTGAAAAAATAATGTGTCTATGGTTCAGTGAGAGAGAATAAAATGTCTTCGAAAAAGAGAGACATTCACACAGAGAAATAGACGACGCATGAAATGTTTTTTTTCACGGTGTAAAAGAATACGTGCGCGATAATCAGTAGAATAAAACGCATTTTTAGCATCAGCTGCCACAAAAGCAAAGAGGATCGTAGAAAATTTATAAGCGAAAATATGGCCGAAAAAAACAAGTGTAAGCCAGTGATTGCATGTCAACATAAGTGTCATGCTATCGTCCGTTTCGAACGCTAAATGCATAGATACAGTATACGTGTAGGAAAAATTATAATTTTAGCAATGAAACAACGAGCTCATTCCTCATCGTATCGTACCACATACACATACACCGGTCTTGCGACAATACACTTTGTCACCATTTGGCGGCGAATACACCCTCTCTATCTTACTCGGTGTGTGTGTGTGTGTGTGTGAGTGCTGTGCATCCGATTCGATGCCTTTGTCTTTTACACAACTTAGCCATCACATAAACCTAAAAGCACTTTTTCATTAATTTTCACTCTCGCCACGCTCTCCGCATACAAAATACCAAAAAGGATTTTTTTTTAAATATATTAAAATGGCTAAAATAATTCAGCGAGCATATTCACGGCACAACAATTTTGAATAATTATTACGAGAGAATGCTCTTTGATGATTTTCGTTATGTTGTTTTCTTTTTTCTTCGTATGCTTGGTTCGATATGCTGTTGGTGTTGGTGGATGACTTGAATCGACTGTGAAAACATTCGAAGCACGAATCGAACAACGAACGAGAAAAATATCCATGAAATTGGTCATTTTCACTAGTTCAAAACTTGATGCCATTTTATTTTTTGTATCTCAAAGCAACTGAAAAGTTTTCCTTTTCTCAGAGAAGTAAAAAAAAGAAGAAAAAATATGTGACTTTATGATTGTGCTCAATTCCGAGACCGAGACACAGATCGACAAAGTCTTGGGTTCAACGAGAAAAACGACAATTTCGTATTCATTTCACATTTTTTTCATAACGATAACATATTTGCCAATTGCCTTTTTCCTACTTAGATTATGTTTTTTTCTCTCGAATTCCCCAATGAATCGATTTTCCTCGGTTTGTTGCATTTACACTGGCACTCTTACGCACCCATAAATGAATAAAAAAAAACATTTCCTTTTCAATATAATTATCATTCAAATGTATTGCATTATCACAGGTGTCTATGGTGATGTACAACGCGTAAAAATTCTGTACAACAAAAAAGACTCGGCACTAATCCAAATGGCTGAACAACATCAGGCGTATCTGGGTAAGTAATACACATAGAATACCGTTTGATAGGAAAAAAAACACTTGAAAAGGAAATCTGATGCAAATAAATGGTGTTAGTGTGAAAAAAGGTGTAAAATTACGAATTAAAAATATGAAATGGAGAAAGAAAAGTGGCTGGAGCAATGTGAACGGGTTTTGGTGCTATGCTGTGCTTACGCCATGCGCCTCAATTTGTTTTTCTTTGTTCCACAGATTTACTATTCATTTCATTAAGTTTAAATGGGTTCATTGAAATAAAAGTAGACGTTTTCGATAATTTTGCAACAATTTTCCAAGTGCCACATATTTGAAAGTTTTAATCTTAATTTCCATTTCGTAATTGTTTTCTTCATCCTTTGTCATCATTGTCACACCATTGTGTTATTAAAACCATCTGAAATGCTTTTTCTTTTTCTCTCTCTCTCTCTCTCTCTCTTTTTCCCTCCTCCGTCGCCACCACCATCATCATCGTCATCGTCATCATATTCGTCGTCGTCGTATTTTTGACCAAAATAGCAATGACTCATTTGGATAAACTTCGTCTATGGGGTAAAGCAATTCGAGTAATGGCTAGTAAACATCAAGCTGTTCAACTGCCAAAAGAAGGTCAACCTGATGCTGGCTTAACGCGTGACTATGCACAAAATCCATTGCACAGATTTAAAAAGCCTGGCAGCAAAAATTATCAAAATATTTATCCACCATCAGCAACTTTACATTTAAGCAACATTCCGTAAGTACTTTGCTTTATTTCCATCACACACACACACACACACACACACACACACACACACATACATCCATACATGCACAGTGTGTATTATCCACACACGCTCCTCATTCTTATTCATCACCGGGCACCGGGTCTCCACTGTGTACTCGGTTTTGTATCGTTTGTGTTCTCTTAAACCCTTTGTTAATTTTCAATTTCGTAGCTGTTTGCTTTTGGGCTACTCTCATTTCGCTACTTGCGTACATTCCGTAAAAGTACCTTTGCACAATGAGCAAAGTCGTTGAGCGAACAACACACTCACTCTTCATCCCCGCACGTACAAAGCGTGCGTTCGCTCACCCACTCTCTCTCTCTCGCTCTCTCTCTATCACACACAAACACACAAAGGGTTAAAGGGAACGCATAGCAAGTGTGAGAGCACGGTAGAATGGGCTAAAACTGCATGCTGTTGGATTTTATACTTTTCTCTCTACAACTATTCCCATAATATTTATTTAGTACATTCATTTGGTGCACCATGAAATGAAGCGTACAAATTTGTGCTGCGTAAATTATATTTTAGTGAAATGCCTTGCTTGCCGTTTGTCGGCAAGTCTTAAAATAATAGGACCCATTAATTTTGATCAATGTGCGGTTTCATTTTTATTTGTACGTTTTTTTTTTCTCCTTCTTGCTATCCTTTCTCTTGCTCTCACACTCGTACTCGACCAAATCGTCATGCAGTTAGAGGACGCACAGTCGCACACTAAAAAGCACATTATTATTTGAGTTGTGAATCAGCCGCAATTCGCGCCGTTGCGTATTTTTCGGTTTTTGGCCCATTTTTGTGCAAATAACAAAACCAGTTGAAGCGCCGAATGGCTGCCAAAAATGTTGTGAACGCAAGCGAATGGCTCTGTGTTTTGGTTGATATGGTTTTTGTAGCGGTGTGGCAATCAGAATGCTTTTCATGCCTAAGAAAATAAAATAAAACAGCAGGCGAACGGCCGGTCCGTCTGATTGCCATATTCAGCGGAAATCATACGCTCTATTTCAATTAAATGAAACGGCAAAGTGTTAATGCATACACAGCATTTTATTTAATTTACGCAATCAATTTCGCAGTGGAAAAATGCATGCGCCCAAAATCAAATCCATCATATGCCCACCATGTCTAATTTGATTCATTATTTGTTTAGTCCATTCGCAAACCAATGCCATGCCATCATTTCTAAATCGCACAATTTCTTTCATTCCTTGCAGAACTACTGTATCTGAAGAAGACATTCGAGAAGCATTCACAAAAAACAGCTTTGAAGTCAAGGCATTCAAATTCTTTCCGTGAGTATTCAACATTTAATTTAGTTTTGTCCCAAACTTTTAGATATTGTCATTGAAAACGTTTCGTTTGTAATCTGAATGCTGATTATTTGATTTTGTTTTCGATTTTAACATTTTTTTGGTTTTCTGTTTTGTTTTTCATTTATTTTTTGGCTGTTTATTCGCCGTCGGCCACAAATCAACAGTAAGGACCGGAAGATGGCTTTGCTTCAGCTGAGCTCAGTGGACGAAGCGGTATTGGCTTTAATGAAAATGCACAACTATCAGTTGTCTGATTCAAATCACTTACGCGTCAGTTTTTCGAAATCAAACATTTAAGTTGCAATAAAAAAACACACCCACAAAATTCAACCGGATCTAAACGAAGCGACGAATTAAACAAAAAAAAAAACAACCGCCACAGCCACATCAAGAATACATCAACAAGAAATCAAGAATAACCCAATAACAAAATATACCCAACCAACCACCGAAATGCAAAGCGATAATCGTGCGCGTGTCTGCATCGCCGAACCGAATATCAAGAGTATGATGACGACACACTGATTGACGATCATCCATGAACTGACACATCAAATGCAAATTAGAAAGAGAAAAAGAGAAACCGAGATGTTTTTCTATAAATTTGGGTGACATTATTTTGTCCAACACAGTCAGCAATTTACAATTTTGTGCAACAACTAGATGTTAATGAAAACAAAACGAAGAAAAATGAAGCAAAAAAAAAACAATCAAACAACAACACAAAAACTCAACAACACACTCATTTCTTTTCGTCTCATTCTTCTTTCTCTGTCGTGCTCACTTTCTCTATATTTCTGAACTCAAATATCTCCTGCCTCTCTTTGGAGCTTTCTACAAAACGAAGAAAATGTATTCTTGGAGAAGATGAAAAAGAAAAAGGAAGAAGAAAATGAAGAAGAATGGAAAATGAAGCAGAAAAACCAAACTGAGCATAGTTTAAATTGAATGACGTAGCTTAAATAAATAGAGCATATGCACTGGCATATATGAATGAAAACAGGAATAACGGAAAAATAAAATAACTGATGAAGGCAATACAGACACACACACACACAAAAGAAAGCACACATATGTCGATGTTCACAATTGTGAACGGAAACACAATGGCAGCTTACAAACTAAATGATAGGAAAAATATGGCATAACATGAAAATCAATATTACTACAAGTAAAAAACGATGCGAAGAAGAAACGAAAAAGAAGAAGTGAACAAGAAATAAAATGAAATTGGGAAATCTCCATTATTACCGACAGCAACGGCTGCAATTAAGAATAATATTAATGATTACTGAATCTGCAAGTATTTACGCTGGCATGTATCGGCTCCGCTGGTGCATGCATAAACACAGAAACAAAACAAAAAGAACATTCGTATCTGGGATAGTTTTACCAAGACGATCAACAACATGAAGATAATAACACCGTGTAACAAATTTCAACTTTTTCTTCTGCACATGAGAAATTCCGATTGCTTGTTTTAGAGGACCAAAAACCAAGCACTTTTGCATCATTAGTTTGTTCGAAACCACGTCTAGACTTTTTTTTATCGACACATATAAGACAAATTTCAGGCCAAAATGAGCAAATCACAAACATGAGCTTCGGTTTGACAGGTAAAAGCAAATAATTTCTAAATTTTCTGCCTTTCAACATCTAGTATGATCCTTTACAAACATTTTGGATACTTACATGACCAAATCGAGTGATGTTTTCACATATTTCTGGCCGCATATTTGGTTGGTTCGAATTCGACCTTGAAAGAATCGACTTTTGGCCAAAAATCCTTAAGTATAGGCTTTTCAGGGATGGTCTCTTGGCGCAAAGTTATTTTTTCTCGAAAATATGGGAAGTCTACCCAGACAAAAACTCTCAAAATTGACTTTTCGAGGTACCTCCCGAACAAAAGTTACGTTTTTCATGCATTTTGCTATGAAAATAACATTTTTTGTTCGGGAGGTACCCCAAAAATACACTATTTGGATGAGTTTCTTAGTAAAAAATTAATTTTTTCGAGAAATATTGGGAATCTTCCCACACAGAATCTCTTATAAATGATTTTTGGGGTACCTCCCGAACAAAAAATGATATTTTCATAGCAAAATGCATTAAAAACGTAACTTTTGTTCAGAAGGTACCTCGAAAAGTCAATTTTGAGAGATTTGGTCTGGGTAGACTCCCCATATTTTCGAGAAAAAATAACTTTGCGCTAAGATACTATCCCTAAAAAGCCTATATTTAAGGATTTTTGGCCAAAAGTCGATTCTTTCAGAGTTGAATTCGAACCAACCAAATATGCGGCCAGAAATATGTGAAAACATCACTCGATTTGGTCATGTAAGTACCCAAAATGTTTGTAAAGGATCATACTAGTTGTTCAAAGGCAGAAAAGGTAGAAATCATTTGCCTTTACCTGTCAAATCGATGCTTATGTTTGTGATTTGCTCATTTTGACCTGAAATTTGTCTTATATTGTCGATAAAAAAAAATCTAGACGTGGTTTCGAACAAACTAATGATGCAAAGGTGCTTGGTTTTTGGTCCTCTAAAACAAGCAATCGGAATTTCTCATGTGCAGAAACATGTGTTGCACGGTGTAACTATAATATTATACATGCGTTGCTGCATGTGCACACATAATTTACACGTAACGTCTTAGACTTTTATATTTTCACTAATATATACAATCGATATATAAACTGTGTAAAAGAAAGGGGAGAGTAATGGGGGGACAGCAGTGTTTATCCATTACAAAGCTCAAGCCCATCAGATATAACCGAAGCGTTTATGTTGAGAATTAAGCATCGAACGGATGCAGAATCTAGTGCAGAATGCAGCAAAATAAATCTTTCAGCGACTGATTAAATACAACAACAACAAAAAAAACACACAAATAAATTACAAATAATAATCGTCTTATAAATAAATAAAATTAGGGAGAATCAATCCTTCTTTTTTTTTACAATAAATTCATTGGAAAAGAAAATATAATTAATAAATTTACCTAAAAAAAACCAACAACTCATTCACAAAAAAAGCTACAAGTTTAAAACAACAACAAAAAAAAACACACACACATTATTACGTAATGATTAAATGAGTAGAGAAAAGATGTCGCAAGGCAGCTACGCAAAACATTGATCAAAAGCTCGTGTAATATGCGCGTTATACTGGGCATTAAGTGAAATATAATTTAAGTGAATTATAATTGATTGAAATAAAAAGTTGAGAAATAAAAAAAAATATTAACGTTTAGGCATCTATTCATATACAAATAGATCTGTCAGCAAAATGGAAAAACAAGAAGATGAAAAACACCTAATAATTTAAAACCGAGAAATAAATGAAGATACAGCTATTATTATACATATAATGTATAGATTGGATTGATGGCAACCGGTGTGGAATGAAATGAAGTAGAAACAACGTTGTGTACGTTAGAAACGATTCAAAAAAGGAAGAATTTAATGATGAAAAACAGAAAGAAAGAAAAAAACAAGGCTGAAATGTCCAAGGTGACGATTGTGCGTGATATTTCTTCACCTGCCTCTCCCCCACACCAAACTTTTTCAACCTCAACTAGTTTAGTTTCTGTCGTTTAATTGCTCTTGCATTCACTCTAAGATTTTCGTGCTTTTGACACATACATGGATTGAGGAGAACAGAAAAAGTTTGCAGAAAATTGAAGAAAAAAAATATTTCAAATTAACATGGACATTTCAAAGCAAACAGAGAGAGAGAGAGAGAGAGAGAGAGAGAGAGAGAGAGAGAGAGAGAGTCCATGTCAAAGGGGAGGGCAATTAGTTAAACCGATCTTAACTGCAACCACCATCGCCGCAAAGCATGCTTTATATTAGCTATACTGCTGCCGTCAATGCCGTAAGATTTGTCCAAAATTTCTTATTTGTTTTTTTCTCAATTCAAACATTCGAACAAACGGTTGTTTTTATTTCATTTTTTATCATTTCCTATACACCTATTACAAATTTGTATTGTATCTATATGAATTAGGCAACAACAAAAAAGTTGAAAAAAATATAAAGAACATGTTGAATTTCATGAGAGACCCTTAGTAAAAAAACAAAAAGAAAAAAGAAATTGCATTAAGGCAGCTTAATCAAGACAAACCTCATTTATTGTAAGGATATACTTAGTTCGGTTTTGTTGTTGGTCTCAATCTAATTCCATGCATAAACACAATTTTCTTTTTCTTTTCGGAAAAAACAAAACAGCACAAAACAGAAAAACTCGATGGCAACTATCATTTCCAGTATTTGAATGAATATTCTTTTTATTTTATCTTTTTTTTTGTCTTTTGGAAAAACCCAAACCAAACAAAAACAACAAAAAAAAAACGAGTACTATCAATGTGTGAATGCAACACGATAAAGAAAAACCATGCTGATTTTTCTCTTTCAAATTTCTAGACAATCAAATATTTGGTAATCAATAAAGATAATCATAAAAAAAAAATTATTATTAATAATATCGATCACGATCAGATCAAACAAACAAATAAAAAAAAATATGGAAAAAAAGAAAGTTCTATTTAGCATACAATCGACCAAGTAATTGACAATTTAAAATTTATTGATACTAGTGAAGAAAAACAAATAAAGGATACAACAAAACACAAACAAGAAAAAAAAACGTATTTGTGAACGTTGTAAGATTGTTTATTTCAACATATTGCGAACGATAACAGTAGTAGAATATGAAAAGAAAACAAAAGAAAAAAAATACTATACTATCTACAAATCTATATTTCTCCTCGTACTATGTGTTAAGTGAAACAAAAAAAAAATTATGTTTAAAAATAAAATGAATAAAAGACAGCTACAACACTTGCTACATGTTCGAAAAAGGATTCAGTCTGCAAAGCGATGCTCTTTCTCTCTTCCTCTTAAGATACCGGGTTGCTTGCGAAGCGACGACGAATGACACTCGAGAAATCATAGCCAAAGTGTAAAACCTTGGCAAAAGTCGCTCGTAAAGAGCATCTCGTTCTCTTTAAGTATGAGAGATAGAAAGCGTCTGCAGATAGAATCTTTACACTTTCACGCTTTCTCCTAGAAAAAGCTAGAAAGAATGAGAGTGATCACAAAATGAATGAAGAAAAAAATATGTTTGTTCGATTCTTTTTACTACGTGGAAGGAAAGAAGAATAGCATGTCATAACTCAGCTCTTCGAATATTTGATAACAATTATCTGATTTGTATTATGTCCAAATTTTATTTCTGTATTTTTTTTTATTGGATAATATAATCACTTAAAAAAAATTATATTTTTTTGGTTTGTTTTTGTTTTATTTGATTCTTTCCATCGTCTTAGCATTTGAATTATGTCTTTTTTCTTTGTTTTATGTTCATTTATATTTTCAGCTCTGTAGATTGCATCATCAAAGACCACTTTATTTCTTATGACCATTTCGTTTTCGTTGAATTTTTCGTTTCACAGTGGAACTGTTACTTGGATTTCTTTTGATTTTCACCTTTTTGATCAATGCCTTTGGGCCTTACAAAAAAAAATAAAGAAGAAGAAAATAATCTCACGTGTGATACAAACTATGTACGACTACCGTTACTCTTTTTTTTTGGTTTGAACATTTTTAACGCATACAAATTGTCACTCGAAATCAAATCAAGCACGGAATAGAAAGCATATTAGATCAAAAGTTGAATCAATATTCCTTAGTTATTTAATGGAAGAAGTAAAAAATACGAGCCGTAAAGCAGCCAAAGAAATGAATAGAGTCTCCTCACCCTCTCACCCGGGGCAATCGAATCGGGGACAATCAGAATAGACACAGAGAGAAGAAATAAAACAAGAAACAGAGTGATTAGGTGCCGGTGTAGTAGCTGGATATATGTATTGTATGCATACGCAAAATCCGAATTTAATACAATATTTGGTCTGAATATTTAAATGGCTATAATCTTATATTCCAAAAAGGTTGTGTCTCCAGCAGTGAGCCGACACATTTCGCTCATGTCAGTTTAGATTGATAAAGTGCCATCGTCGAAATGAAGTGCGTACACCAGTTATTTTCGAGAGATCTTTT